TTTTTTTTTTGTATTTTCCTACCGTAGTGCGGGTTTCTTTCAGTTTCAAAAGTACTGGCCACATCCACCAGGTGTGTCCACTCCAGAGGACTGTCCCGGTCAGAGGAGGGGAGGGGCATCAGCTCCTGAGGGAGGGGTCCGCGGTGACGCTCCACCAAATCAACCAGTGAAGTGTCTGAGGCTGAGAGGTCTGAAACAAATTAAGGAGAGGAAAAAAAAAATCTCTCTTCTGTTGCTTCACAGGTTTACACATTTTTCTTGAACAACTCTTCTCTTTTCTCACCGTGGAGTTTGACACCGAGTTTATAGGACGGTCGTCTGAGGGGGACACCCCGGGTGGTGGGAGAGCGTGGGAGGGTGGAGCAGCTGAAGAGAACATCAGAACCCAGACTCGCTTCTATCACGGAGTCGCTCAGAGAGGGGAGGCGCTGTCCACGATAGATGCTCTCGTCCGAAAGGGTGCGATGCAGCGATCGACGGCGGCTGAGAGGTTGACTGGGCGGCGACTTCTGACCGTGCTGAACATGAAAAGAAATGTTTGTGTGAGGTTAAAGAAATCCTTACTGCAGTTCCTGTTTGTGTCAACAGGTTGACATGTCAGATAAAACTGGGTTCCAGCTACAGCTTCTCTGCTCCACAGAGAATGTTCTGGCAGCAGTACCTTCTCCTTGTGTCTGCGTGGAGGGGGGGGGCTGTCGGAGGCCACGTGTCTCTTCGCGTCTTCCTCAATAGTGGACTTGGCATGAGGCTGAGGGGAGTGCATGTCTCGCAGTGAAGGTCTGGCCGCAGGAGTTGGGATAACGTCTCCTCCACCCTCACCTGGAGACTTCCTGAAAACACACAGACAATAATTGGTTTCAATGGAGACAACTGTAACTCTGAAATGTACAAATGCTACAAACATTGTGATGATGCTTTATATATAATTAACACATATAAATTCAGTTACTCTTATTATTGAGCGCCTTTATTTAAAACTGCAATTTTTGGTGTAATACTAGTTTTAGCCACAGGAGGGCAGTGACGTACAATAATAATCACTGCAACAAGGGAACGGCAGAGCCGGAGCTGAAACATTGATATGTGATACTTGTGTCATTGACAAACTAAACCCACACATCAAAGCAGAGACACACACCCACACTGATCCTGGATTAAACCTGGATCAATAGATGGAGCCCTTCATCCATTCTTACTTGCGAGTGTCTCCAAAGTCCACAGAGTTGATGGTGGAGCCCGGCTTCCTCCAGCCAATCAGGTACTTGGACTGAGCTCCCTGACGGGGGTAGAAGCTCTTGGGCCCGGGAGACACGGAGGACGACGGGGAGGTGGCCGAAGACGAGGACTCTTCTCTGGGGGAGCTGTGGCCCGTGTGTCTGGAACTGATGGATGGACAGAATACAATAGAATAGATGAGGAAAAATACAACAAAATGTAGCATTTTACCCATCACTAAAGTCAGCAGGGGGCAGCCTTAAACCATCCAGACACAAGTCCACTTCCTTAACCACCAGGCCACCACTGCCCCCCAGCATAATCATATCATAGAATAGAATAGAATAGAGCATATCATAGCAAAGCATATCATATCATATCATAGAATAGAATAGAATAGAATAGAATAGAATAGAATAGAATAGAATAGAATAGACCTATGAATTGAAGGCAGAGTAAGTCTGGTGATGCCTTTACTGTCAGTCACCGCTTTGTGTTGATGCAAAAGGTTGCAATTCACACCTTCACGGTTAATTCACACCAGGTGGGTGTGGCGCCGCCCTGTGTTCTTCAGATGAGTGGCTAATTCACAGGTTTTGGGCCTACTATGACCATTCGACAGCTCAGTATGTACAGTATGGATGATGGGAGCTCTACTGTCGACTACCGAGGAGGTGATGTCTCTGTTTTGACGTCGCCTGTGGTGGAGCCTGTCCCAGTATCTACATTCATCAGCCGCAGCTCAAACACTGCACAGTCGATACCCAGGTTGTGAACTGTAACTCTATCTGAACAGACACATTAGGATCAATTCAAACAGGAAGACTGGAACACAGGAGCTCTGCTGTCCCCGTCTGACACGTGTTCCACATTTCCTGAGGCCTAATGTGGAAAGATAAGACGAGAGGTTGAGGTTACTCCAGCGCCAGGATTCCAGGAAAGAATTGGTAACAGGAAGGTGGTCCAGTTAGTGCTCCTCTTTTTTGGCTAAAGAAATATTAGACTGGACCATCAGAGGTGACTGAAGCCAAAGAGGCTGTTAGATATTTGACGTGTGCAGGAAGACGTGCAGTGAGACGTCTGTTAACTGCTCTGTGATTTTCTGATTATTAAATGATGTGCTGATTAACCGGTCACTTTTTCTGACTCGTGATGATGTCATTAACCGGTCACTTTTTCTGACTCGTGGTTTCCTTGGAGCTAATGTTTATTTATCCATATAATTTAGTCTTTTGTTGTCATTCCATCTAGTTGACATTTTCTGCTTACTTTACTTTTCACCTTGTTTTTATAATAGCAGAAAAACAATGGAGTTTTGTCTGATCTTGTAAACTTTGTAACCATTCTGGACTAATTTTCTTGATTTTTTTATTTTTATTATTTGTTTAGTCTTCTTCTGAGATATTTGTCCATTTGTCTGCTGAGGTGGCCACACACCAACACTACATCTGTGACTAATTGTTGGGTCATAAAAACAACAGACCTGGAGTGGGATCCAGCTTCACTCAGGCTGAAGGTGCTGCTGTCTCGGACCAGGAGATGAGTAGGCGGGCTGCGGCCTGTTCCGTCCAGGCTCCTCTCCCCCGGAGGGCCCGGAGACTCGGCAGCCGCGGGCGACCTCTCCAGCATCCTCCTGCCTCCCTCGGTGGGGCTGTGCCACGGAGAAGCCGAGCGCTCCCTGCTCTCCCTGCTTCCACTGGGAGCCAGCAGAGAGGTGGTGCTGCCATGATGGGAGTGCGGGTGGGCGTGGTGCGGGGCTCCGTACGAGCTGGTGTCAATGCCGCTGTCGGCGGACGCCCCCTGGAGGTATCCTCCCCCGCCCAGGCCGTTGGGCTCAGGTTCACCCTGGTCGCCGCTGGAGGCCCCACCTGCCCCCAGCTCAAACCACTTATCGCTGTCGCTGTGAGCGCTGCTGGAAGCTGTGCTGGACAGAGTGTTGCTGCTGGAGTGACCGGAGTAAGGGCCGTCCTGTAGGAACGACCAGAAGGTGGCGATAACTACACAGTGCTTCTTCATTTTCCAAGATTAACTTCCAGGTTCATTGAACTTGTTCGTTTAACCTAAATCATTTTGGTGCGAGGTCATACCTGGCTGCCCTTCTTTGGGGAAATATGGATGACCTGCTCTTGCCTCTGGATCCGTGGAGCTCCAGAATAACCTTGACCAGACTTGGAGACCGGAGCCTCTGTAGCAGAAACACACACACACACACACACACAGCCGGAGTTAGTGACGACCACATGTTCTGTTCAAAGTCAACAGTGATGATGTTCTCCTCACGGCTCAGTTGCTACTTAGCACAGATGTCTAGCAGGAGGCTGCTAACGCTGACACTGTTTTTATTTTGCCTCTGCTGCGCGCATTAAAAAAAAAAAAACAGGTCTCTCCTCGTCTGAGGCAATGGCCATCAAAATGAAATTTCTCTCCCCAGATGGCGTCTGGCAGCTTTGTTTTGTTTTTTTTTCTTTTTTTATATTTCTGGACAAGCTGTGCTATGACAGAGAGAGGGTGCGAGCGCCCGCGGCAGAGTTCAGTTTAAGTAAAAATGAGACGGTTGTGTAATCGTCTAAAAGTTACGCAAGAAGATACACACAGCCGGGCCACTAATGGGCGCAGCAGCGTGAGCGGGGCCGCAGCGGGAGGTGACCTAACATCTGCTGGTCTGAACTGAGCTGTAGTGAACACACACAGTCACAAACCACTTAGAATATTCATTACTCTGCAGTTTCCTCTGCACAGAGAAGCCACAGGGTTCTCCAAACTAATTAGACACGTTCATGTGTGTGTGTGTGTGTGTGTGTACACATGCCGCATATAAGACATCACCATCATTGTGTGTGTGATGCAGTGCTAGTTGTGAGGTAACATGAGGAGTGTCAGGTGAACGTGTGAACATCTGTCTATTTTACAGAGGTAAAAAAAAAAAACTTTATTTATTTTTGTCACAGTTTTGTGGCAGTAAATCTAATCATGTATTAAATATTTATAAAGCTGCTGCAGGCTATGAAAATCAAGTGTGTATGTTAAAGGTCACATACATCACAGCATGATAAGAGTTTTTTTTTTAGCATCATCCAGGTTGTTGTTATCAGTTTTTCCTAAATGTTAAGAATTGTAGCTGTTTTTAAACCTTTCCATCAACATATGGCTACACTGTATTGTCTGATGACAATATTTGTTGAACAATTTAAGCTTTTTTTTTTTTGCTAACTTTTAGCATTAAGAACATATTAAGCATATTAGAAAACATTAGAAATTTGACAAAGTAAATTATTTGAACTCTTCACAATCTCTTTTGCCAAGGTTTAAATTTACATTCCAGTATTTTCTGTTTCTGTTTAGTTATTTATCTATTAACTATAAACAGTAATTGTTAGCTAACAGTGCTACTTTAATCACTGCTTTTAACTTTAGCTAAGTATAAGTCAAGATATACAAATATTATATTTCTTACAGAGAAATTTGACAAAGTAAATTATTTGAATGGCATTTTGACTCATGTTTTCCTGCACCTACAAAGTGAAGTAACGTTTTTCAGGGAGTGAGAATTTTTGGAAGGGAATTGTTAAAATCACAACATCAGAGAAGACATTCACGGATGTCAAGCAGCAGCAGCAGGGATCATGTAAAATAAGCTCTCTGGCCTTTCTGTGACTTGTGTTATTTCTGTAGAGTCACCACAGTATCATCAGCGGTGAAGCCCAGCAGGTCAATGGCTGAAAGATTGGAGAGAGAAAATGTAGAAAGGAAGAGGAAAGGACGGAACCCTGAACCACAGAGACAGTAAAGTAAGCCGGTCAGGGCTGGGCCCTGGTGGACACTTGGCTGACTTCACCCACGGCCGCCTCGGCTTGTATTGTTCCCTCCCTCCGAGTGCTCTAAACAACCACGAAATAAAAGACCGGGTCTGCTCTCTGTGATTGTGGTGGTCAGGAACAGGTTGCCTGGAAGTGGGCTGGACGACAATCAACCCGAGCGACATCCTGCTGGGAATCAGAGGAACGGCACGGGAGCGTGTCGTCGTTGTGGCTTTCAGAGCCGGAGCCAGAAAACAAGAAGAACACTCACCAAAAGGCAGTGCAGTGGGGAAGAGTCGTAATTAAATGTGTGCCTGTGTTTGAGGAGGCTATAAAAACAAACGAGAAGCAAAGAGAGGGCGAAGGAGAGAAAGACAGAAAGAAAGGAGGAGGACATGTGTCCACAGGAAGGAGAGGAATTTCCTTCCTTTCTCTTTCTCCTCTGGTCTGACAAAAGAGTTGGTTGAAAAATCAATGAATCACCAGCAGCCTTCTCTCTCTGTCCTGTCTGTTTGCAGAGGCATGAAGAACTGCTCCAGCAGGGTAATATAATTTACAGCTCCATTAGTAGGAGGTGAAAAAGGAGGAGTAAGAGGAGGAGGAGAGAGACAAGGAGGAATGAAGTGCAGTTCACTCTGGTGTGAACCTCAGCTGTAGAAGAATCAGCTGAAAAAAAAAAGATAAATAAATAAAACACAGGAAACTCGTCACCTCAAGGTTTTTGCAGTGTTTTAAATATGAATGATTTCTCCGTCTCCTCTGCTGCAGCTTTTGTTTTTCAACAGAGCCGTGCTCTCAGCAGCTGAAGGACAGTTTGACTGAAACTCAACCTCTGAGCTACTGTTTGAAAAAAAGAGAAAAGAAACAACGGCTTCATCCACGTCTTAGGAAGAAATGTTTTTTCTACCTGTTGACCCTCGTTCCCCTCGTTCTCCTCGTTCCCCTCGTTCTCCTGCTCCACTTTCTTCCATTCTTGACCAATTAGGAGTGGACTTTCCACTGGACGTGCCCTCACTCACCTCTCGTCTCTCTGTGGACATGGGAGAATGGCGGTTTCCTGCAAACCTGGGAGATGACATCACACTTTTAACAGATGCATTTTGTATACATACATACATACATATATACACCTACACATGCACACACACACACACACACATATACATACACTGCATACATACATACATATTATAGCCACAGTAAACTACTTTGATTAAACCCTGTGTAGTATCAGGCTGATACTGCAGAGACAACGTTTTATTTGTTGATGATATTAGACCCCAGGCGTCCTCCTTACTGCTCAGGCATGGACTTCTGTCTCCAGTGAGCGGAGCTTCCTGAGGCGTCACTGGAACAGGACAAATTGCTCGGGGAGCTTCGATTGTGCGGGGAACGTCCCAAAGCCAGGGAGGAGACCAGGCTGTAGCTTTCAGTGCCCGGAGACATCCTGGTTCACATGCAATAACAAACACAAACACGGGGACATTTAAAGTATTTACAGGCCCACAGAAATGGAGGAACTTTAAAGGCAGTTCATTTCAACTTTCTTTCAAGGGAAATTCCATTGATTTCTACTGTGTGACCAGTAGTTTCCACAGTGTCTGGATCAAAAAGAAAAAAAACAGCCACATTTTTCTTTGTTCCAATTTTAATCTTTTTCTCTGCTGGTTTGTGTCTGAAAAATCCTGATATTAGATATTTTATAACTGTCCAGATGTTCAGCAGCAAAGCCCACTTCTGTCTTCCAGGAAGGACTTTTCCAGGACATTTCAGCAGCATCAGTAAGACAGTGACATGCAAATTTGATTGGCTGGTAGCGCCATAACCGATGTGAGTCATTTAAAGCCCAATCAACTGAACCAACCCAACCCAACCCTCGGCTTCTAACCTTTTGGGATCCAGAGGTCGGCCGTCGCTGCTGACACTGCGTGGGATCGCCGCCCCTCGCTCCAGCCTCTCTGCAGACAGAGTCTTTCCCACGGAGCTGCCCAGGCTGATGGCCCGGTTGGGCGTGTGGGGCTGTGGCGAGGCGGTCAGCGACTGCTGCGGGCTACTGGACGTCCTCTGCCACTTGTTGTTGTTGCTGCGGAAGGGGAACTTGTATTCGAAGGAGCCGCTGTCGCTGCTGCTGCTCTTGTAATCAGACACAGGCATTCGATAAAGCTCTGAGCAGCCTCTGCACGGAGGAGAAGCAGGTGTTTGATGACTTTGATATTTTGTCGATATAAATGTAGCCAAAATGAACACAGTCCTAAAAAGCGAAGACTAAATCCTACCTGCGTGGAGTTGCGTCGTCATGAGGTGGTATGATAACAACGCGCACTGTCACCGAAGTACGCAGAAGGTCAATCATCTGCTCGTGGGTCAGCGTTGCTACGGCAACTTTGCAGATCTCAACTAATCGGCTTCCCTGTCGCAGTCCCGCCTGCCAGGCGTAGCCGTACGGCTCCACCTAGTGGTAACGTAACATCAGATTTGATCAAATACAGGGTTTATCCAAAATCCTTCCCGTGGCAGCGTGGTCAGTTTGTCAGAGTGGAGCGATACCTCAGCCACGATGCCTTCGTAGTTCACGTGGAAGCCCAGCTGCCCCAGGCCGTTTCGACGGAGTGTCATCTCTGATGTTTCACAGCCTTTAGTCAGTGACTGTGTAGAGATGAAGGGAAAGCAGCCAAGAGGAGAAAAAAAAGAAGGTCAAATCAGCATGAACTCAATTCAAAACAAAAAAACAGAAACAGAAAACCTTGGGTCTAAATCTGGACAAAGATCTGAAAATGTGCTCAGTCTTAAATTAAACAGGAGACTATTTTTTAAAAAATAACTTCAGTGACTCCCAGGAGAATTGTGCTCATAAATAAAGATGAACTTCAGTGAACCTTCCACTAGACATACACTTGACGGAGGACAGAAATGAAAGCAGGTGTGTTTCCCGCTGTGACACTTTAGGGTGTGTTCACTCTCGGCTGTTTTCGTTTTCTTTTTTTTTTTTCTTTTTTTCATGAAAGTAAAAATAAAAAGCCTTTGCATTTAGAAAGCAGTAACAGAGCACTGCAGGGCGGATGCTAATATTTTATTCTTAGACTGAAAAGTGAATTGACATAAACGTGACGTCTCGGCTGTAATTGTGGTCGGTCTGGACTCTATCTCTAACTGCAGAGACTTTTCCCTGCGATCCTCCGTCTGAGCCGGGTGTTAGAAAGCGCTCTGAAGAAGCCAAACATCACAGAGAAATGTGAATAAATCACCCTTCAGACCAGCACCTGACAGGAATTGTTATGCAGCTTTCCAATGTTTCTAAATTTGTGCGTGGGAGAGTACGAGGAGAAAAAAAAAATGAAAGGGAACAACGGAGCACAAACATGAGAAAGAGCGCTAAGAGAGGAACAGAGAGAGAGTGGGAGAGCGACAGGGAGACTAATTCTACAAAGCAGGTGGCCAGAAGCCTCTTTACTTCCTCTGGTGGCACCATGGTAATCCAAACGACTGCAGATTAATGCCAGATTTGAAATAATAAAACATGAAAGTCAGACATTGTGAAAAACAAATTTAAGTGTATCTAAGAGCCGACGTCAGCAAATCAAATCTGGTGTGGACTCCATGTATAAAAAAAATAAAATAAAAACATAATAAAAACCAATAAATCTCCTGTTCTCGGGCTCACGCACACACACGTGGACACGCACGCAGAGCTGGAATGTGCAAAAGGCTGAGGAAATGTATGTGCTCTGAAAAGCTGATGGTTACATAAGAAAACACCTTTTCTTCCGAACCAGTTTCCATGGAAACAGCTAAGGAAGAGCTAGCATCACTTCAGAGTGTGTGTAGGTGTAGGAGCCATTAGAACCGTGTTGTCCAGAGGTGTTTCTGAAACTCTCAATGAACCAGGGGCAGTAATGAAGCAGGAGCTCTGGCAGATGTCGTCTTCCTGACTCTGACTCTGACTCTGAGTCTGAGTCTGAGTCTGAGTGACGACCAACAGTAAATATTAGAAGATACTGTGAGTGTGGCAGATGAGATATACAGCAGTCAGTTAAAGGACAATGATGATGTCAATGATCTTAATCTTAGTCGCTGTACATTAGGTCAGTTTTTTTCAATCGTTTACGATCGCTTGAAATTTGAATGGGGTCTGAAGTGTCTAGTAAATGATTTTTTTAAAATTATGATTAAAAACATCCCCCCAAAAAACCTGAACCAACTGCATTCTTTCACTTTCACCAACATTAATGGAGTTCAAATTAAATGCAGAATATAACATATCCCAGTTGGGGCATCTTGATTGACGGCTGCAATGTCAAACATGGTTTGGAACCACGAGGTAATGAAGAACGACCGATACCATATTTAAATAGCAGCTACGACACAGAACGATACAGAATGTCTTACATTTGATAAATAAACAGCCTTTCCAAACAGTGCATGGTCCTACCTCCAGACGTTTGACCACTTCTTTGAAATCCTCAGTGTTGTTACTGATGCTCCTCAGAGACACGCTCTCTCCTCGCTCATAAAAGATCCGTAACGACGCAGGGCTGCTCAGCATCCAGCCAATCACGTCCTTGGTAGCACAGTTAAACAGCACGGCCTTGGCCTCCTGGTCCAACAGTATGAGGAAGTCGTTGGAGATGGCCAGAAGCGCCTCCAGTTCTCCTCCTGTCCCATGATCCTCGGCGTGGACCAGCCAGGTCACCGCTCCCAGACTTCGCAGCTCGGCTCCAGCGTAAGGTCGACTCTTCTCCTTTTTCTTGTGGGCCAGTGAAATGAAAGGGAACTTCCCGGAGGGGTCGATGGGCGTGCTGGTGGTGTGACGCTCCGCCAAGTCACGCAAATACTCCTGTCGCGTACGAGTGGCCATGGCACGGAACTTGTGCGACTTGTGCGCAGCATTTTCTGCGTTGATCACTTTGGCCAGCAGGAAGTCCCGGAACACCGAGGACTTGGGGAAGGTCACGCCCTCTGGGATCGGGGGGCCAAAGGACGGCACATCTTTAGAACGTGTGACAGCCACACTACAAGAAGAGACAAAAAAAAAAGATTGATTTTAGTACCAGTTTGTTATCGTCTTCTTTCTAGAAAAATGTAGCTCCGTCATCTGTCAACTAAACCAAAATACTGTCCAAACGTTGGAGCCTTTGTTCAACATTCACCATGTATAAGACCTTGAGTTTTATAGCAGTCAAAGTATGTTTTCGGAGCGCTGTTAATTCATGAACAGATGTTTGAGTCCATTGGGCATAACATGTTTTATGAATTTGGGATTCACAAATAAATTCTGCTTTACTTGGACTTGGATTTACACCAAGATCTAATCATCTCCTCCTCGGGTCATAACCTGCTTTCCCAGAATATTTCATCCAAATTTATCCCTCACTTTTTCATGACAGACAGAGAAGCAGGCCAACAACATAACCTCGTTGGCAGCGATGACTAGTTAGCTGTTCAGAGAAAAGGTTAGTATTGCAGGGAAGCGTTGAGTAATTGCTGGATTCTCATCGTAGCGTGTCTTTCACTCCCATGTTCTTTACCTCCCTGTGTATGTTTCCCTCCACTTCACTTCTCCTTTAATTAAGTATCTGGAACAACCATCTAAAGACTCTCTGCCCTGTCTGGTATGTCAGGAACTCACATGTGAAGCCACGGAGAGAGAAGGGAGGAGGAGAGAGAGAGAGAGGAGAGGATGAGGGGGAGACAGCCTGCCAAAATCACACTGCACAAATCCCCAGAAAACCCAGAGTGAGAGAAAAGGAAAAAATGCAGCTGAGGAAGGAAGACTGAGAGAACTGGTGGTGGGAGTTGAGGAGGGGGAGGTTACTCACTGGAAAAGACTGCATGTTATCTAAAGTATATCTGTAAAATATCTGAGAGGCGGTGGGTACCACAGAGCCTGGAATGGCCTTTTTATGAAGGGCCTGGTGTCTGTGCATCATCCGTCCTCGTCACAACCTCTCTGAGAAATAAATGAGCGTAATCACAGATCTTCACTCAGGTGATAATTACCAGCTGACGAGAGTAGCACTGGAAGTCGGAGAGCTCATCCCACACGCTTCCCTGCTGACAAGCATCAGCACAGACGGTGACACCGGGATAAATGGCTCTGTCTAATAAGCAACTGGAGTCAATATGTCTCCCACATACTTCTAAACATACCTCCACGACGCACTGTCCTCACAGGGGACGCGGGGTGTTCAATTATACTAAAAGCCCGATTGTTGACACCTCGTTTCGCACCTTTCCTTATTTGTACCAGAGAGGTTTGATTTTTTTTTTTACCTGAAATTGCAGTTAGACAGATAAACTATGTCTAAAGGTTTAGACAAATGACAAATGTTGGACTGTCCAAATGTTTCACGTCTTTTTGTCCTCTTTACAAACAAACGACAAACTAAATGTTCTTTCAAAATAATGTTATTTTGTATTGTTTTAAAAGGGTTTTTAAAAAATAACTGAATTGAAAATTTTGAAATTGGCAAGGAAAAAATATGCTTTATCAACAGCCCCTACTGGTCACTGGTAAGAATGCACCCAAAATCTGGTTTAGTGACAACAAAACTTAGAGGTAGTTGGGATGGATAAGGAGTCGAGACTTGACTTGGACTTGAAAATAAATTATTTGTGAACATGTCTGACTATTTATACTAAAGAAGTGAATTTAGGACACATGAGACCAACCGTTGGTGCAATGCATCTTCAAGATGTCTTACATACAACTTTACCCTTACATTAGCTCACAACAAATCCATAAAATGTCCATAAATCTGCACACAAGAACTGAGTCAGAGTTGAATGTTGCCTTTCAATGACAGATAAATCACGAGGGCCTTTACAGCTGCAGTAAAATAGCTGTAGGAAGGCCGAACAAATAATTGAAATAAAATGTGACCTTTTATTTTCATTCTGCTCCATCAGTACAAACACATCACTCAATAAATTTCACTGGGGCTCTACGGGCTCTTTTACCGATCTGGAACACCTGTGAGTTAGTCAGCCAGAGAACTGTGACTCATCCAGGACAGAAAGGAATGATGGAGAGACAGGGACAAAGAGTGAGAGAGAGAGAGAGAGAGAGGGAGAAATGCAGGAAAGAAAAAAAAGACTAATGTAACTCTATCATAACACAAAAAAAAAAAACCCCATAAATGATTAAGAAACGAAGGTGACCAGGAGGTGAAGGTGACAGAACAGGAGAAAAATGGCGCGGCAGCGGAGAACGTCCGTGTTTTGTGGCCGCGCTGAGGTTCTCAATTTTCAGTGATTTGTGGACTTATAAATATCCAGTGTGTGGGCAGCTCGGCTCCTCCAGTATCTACATCCTGCTGCCCACTGAACCAGGGCAACAAAAAGCAAAATGTCAATACCTGCTCTGGTGGGAAGTACACAGTACGAGGGTGTGCGGACACTGAGGTGGTGTAAGACTCTGTAAGACTCTAAGACTCTAAGGTTTTATAAGACATCAGACATGCTGACACTAATGTTGGAACATGAGTAAAAAAAAATAAATTCAATAACCTAGAGCAGGGGTCTCCAACTGTTACAGGGCGAGACGTTTTCTGGTCAGAAACCTTGGGGGGTGGACACTTAAATAAATGAATTTTTATTCATTACACAGATTTCTGTCTAACACTATTATTTGATGTTTATTTTTGGATTCCAGTTGCAGGCCCAGTTGGACGGTACAGCGGGCAGAATTTGATCCACGAGCCACCAGTTTATGATTACCGACCTAAAAGGGTCTGTAAAAAAAATGTAACTCTATCAAGAGCAACCTTTGATAGTGTAACCAAGGTTTTTTCCAGTTGATATTTATTTTTTATTTATCTGTGTATCTATCATCTACCTTCAAAGATTCAGTGTCACTCCTGTTTTTTGTTTTTTGTGTGTCCACAAAACCCACCAAAGAAGTCCCAGCTCATGCGTCTGTCCATAGAACAGCGAGAAGGAAAGTATTTAACACCAAATCAATGAGACTATTGACTTCTTTAAGTCCTGCGGGAGCCAGGGTGGCTCTGAGGTAAGACTCTGAGTCAGCAGTACCTACAGAGTACTGCAGTACCTGACCATTCAAATACACGCTCTTAGGTAGGGTTAGGGTTAGGGTAAGGTAGAGTTGCAGAGAATACAGTAAAGCCTCTACGTCAGGAAATGTAACCGTTTTGTATTTCGTCCAGTGAGAAACACTACAACAAACACATAATTATTTATCTGCATATTTGAAAAAGATAATGTCCCTAAAAAGTGGAGATTGATTGTCATTTACACCTAAAATCGATTGTTTTTCTGTCGACTGTTTTTGATTAAACAGCTGGATTATCACTTCTGGAGTCACGTGTTCTACGGAGCCGTTAGACGTTCTGTTGCATAATTCATGTGCTCGTGTGGTGTTGTTGTTGTTGGTGCTCATTAGTGACGGAGCCCGGAGCAGGACGAGTGAAGACTTCACACAACGTGATCAAACGGTGATTAAAACAGTCGTTAGTGGGAGAAAGGAGGAGGTTCACAGTCAGTCAGAGAGCAAAGAAAAAGTCGGAAAACTCGGTTAAAGGACTGAAGCGGAAAAAGTTTAAAACTGGGGGAAATGCATGGTATTTTTAAATTTTTTTTTTTTTCCCTTTCTCTGAAAATGAGTTTAAAAAAAAAGTTTTTTTTCTCCCTTTCTCTGAAAATGAGTTTATGGTGGGTGAGCAGTGGAGTGGGCTCCGTGCACTTACAGCCCACTCCATCATACAGGGATGAAACTGGAAAAGTGATGAGAGCTGTTCAGCCCGGTGGAGTGTTTCTGTTTCAGAAGTGATGGGCTGTGATTCAGAACGCGGTGCATTTTATAGGTCATAATAAAATAAAATAAATTTAACGTTGACTAGAGTAATGCACTTTTTTTTGGCATATTTTAGTGTCATTATAAATGTAGCTTAAATTAAAGTGTCTAATAAAATTGTAGTCTTTAACATTGGTTTATTTTATGATAAACTCCATGTTTATTTGTTAGCAAAATTGATTGTTTCACTTAAAGAGAACAGTGAAACATTTGAATAAAGTCAGTGAGAAAAACTTCAGAAATGATCACACAACTGAAGTCCAAACCTCACCTGTAGGAGGTGTTGTCAGAGCAGGGACTGTGCGCCCTCACAATCACAAACACGTGCTGGAAGTGAGAGCGGATGTTCTTCGGGGTGAAGGGAAGAGCCCCGGGTTCTTGGAACACGATGGTGACGATGTCGTTCCCGATATGGCGCTTCCGCAGCAGCTGGAAAAGGTCGAGCGCAAAGTGTTTTATACTTTAGAGTTTTCAAGAACAAATGAAAAGCAGTGCTTTTAACCTGTGTGAATTCTGTAATATTTCTAATCAGTAGGAGTATTTTGGGTTTTAGAAATAAAAATATTCAGAAGGTATATGGAACATTTGTAATTAAAATATAAAAATAAGCATTTTTCTAAACAAAAAACAACCCTCACCTGCTGCTTATTGTTGGGTGTGTATGGCAGCATGGTGGACACGTGGAACATGATCTCGTAGTCCTTGTATGTGGTGTAGAGGGAGTGTGTGCCTGTGGAGTCAGCTGTGGAGGAACATGATGAAACGTCAGCTGAAAACCAGCGTTGATTTGTTTGATTTTGAAACAGCGTGTGGATCAGGCACCGGCGTCGAACTTGGTCTGGTTCTACGTACTCTTGGTGTCCAGCTGAGCTCGGTACTTAGTGAAGTTCTTGAGCCGAACCCTCTCCCCGAGCAGGTGAAGGAACTCCTCCAGAGCAGGACCGGCCGATTCGTTGTTGTACATCTCCTCCTCGCTGCTCTGCCCCGCCATGCAGTACATCACCCCCACCTTCCTCTGGAAACTGAGCTGCAGAGAGAGAGAGGGTGAGGGCAGGGGTCCAATCAGAAGAGGAGACAAGTATCTCCACAAATTCATTTCAGAATAACCACATTGACATTTTGGGGAATAAAAAAAAACCTCACGCTGGCATTTTAGGAGTAACAACACTGGAACTGTTAACAGTGATCACTGGACCATTTTTCCACAGCAATCATGTTGACATTTACCAAACTTCAGCTGTGGATGATTGGACCAGGAAGTGCCACAGGCACACAGCTGTTTTATTTTTATGTTTTTTACATTTCTATGTCCATAACAAGTAGGTGGTCCGTCTCTACTTAATCACTACTCCCTGACGTCATTACCACCAGGCTGCACTTCAGTTTGGTTTCCTTGCCAATGTACATCAATACTCACCATCACAACACAATCATAAGGAAATACATTTTTAAAGTTATACTCCTGAATTATGTCACAGTTTACTGTGCATCTGGAGGAAGAATAATAGTTTGATGTGTCTCTGTGTATTCTGATAGTCTAAATAAATTCTGATAAATACATTTTTGTTATTTTACTCACAGGAAATATGAGAGAAATTGAAAAAAAGACAGTGAACAGCATAAGAGGGTTAGGGTCTGGGGGAGGATGCAGGACAACTGACCCTCCAACAGTGACCTTGACCAGAGGCTTTTCTTTTTTTTTTCTTTCTATTTTTCAGTTCCGCTTTTCTTTTTTTTTCTTTCTATTTTTCAGTTCCTTCACCAGAAACTAACAGAACTTCACTCCAGTCTGCAGGTGCTCCCTCGTCTTACCCCCTGCTCGTCCAGCTTCATCAGCTGCTCGGTGACCTTTGGCGTGTTGAGTGCCAGCCTCAGGCAGTGAGCGTTCAGCTCAGGCACCAGGTACTCCAGCACCTCCTTGAGAGGCAGACCCCGAGCCAGGCCGTGCTTGGAGGTGGAAGGCACGGCGTCTTCCAGGATGGAGCCTCTCAGAGTATTGAGCTGTCAACAGAAAAAGAAAAAAGGAATTATATTTTGACAGTAAATCTCAATTATATTAAGAAGATGAAGAGCATTTAAGCTAAAATCTGTGCAGACCAGGAGTGGGGTTTTTTTTGTGTTGAATTATATCAACCTCATAGTTCCTTTGTCAACTCTCACAACACTTTTTATCTGTATTCACTCATAATGGATTAGAGAAAGATTATTTGAAAATAGGACAGAACCAGCAAAGGTCGAATCAGCACCACGGTCAGTTCAACATGGCTGTTTACCTAATGATCCATTATATATTGAAAGATTTAAACCAAAGAACTGCAGCATGGACAGACATGACAGTAGTCTGACCAGAGAGACTAGAGATGCAGTCTTAAACCCTCGGCTCAACCAAAGGCTAGCATCAAGCTAATGACGCGTTAGTAAACCAACAACATTGAGTGAGATCAGTCTGATACCAAAATAGTAGCAGTAGGAGTGTGTATTATACTGTTTAAGAACCTGGTGATATGATATGTATCACAATACAGTGGCAACAATATGATATATTGTGATATACTGCAATACTAATACTAATTTTTGTATAATTGAACTGTGGTAAAACTGTGCTCCTAGTCTGAGACTCTGTTCCATCTGAACATCAGTTCCTAACTCTGGAACAGAGGGATCTACATTTGGAATCACTAGAGAAGAAAGAAAAGAAAAAGAACATGAACCAACACCAGGAATATTGGACTGGGAATAGTTAGTAAAAAAATAAATCTATACAGTCTTGTAGAATTCTGCAACAACATTGTGTAACAAAATATAAATGCAATATTTCAGTGTATCAATATTATCTTGCACCCTTTACTAGAAGGCTGCGAGGAAACGGCACCGAGGCCTGGAGGTGTGTGTGAAAGAGTAACTTGAACTGTGATAAAACCCTCCAGATATGAATAAACTAAGAGCTTCCATAAATAGCACCCATCAATAAACCAAGAGGGCAGTAGAGAGAGAGGGAGAGAGTCAGGACCTGACACAGCTGGACAGTTGTTCTCAACCCACGGCTCCTCAGAGCCACTTGCGTGCTAGCGTTTGTGTTTGTGACTTTATGGGCTCAGTTTTTGGTCCAAAATCTCTGGACTAAACTTGTGGTGTCAAACATATGGCACACAGATTTTTTAATCCAGCTGTATGTGGCCCATGAACCAACTGGATTAAACTAACTGAGAGAAGGAGATGCTGAAGGACAGACGCTGTTTTCAGTGGACAGTGGACTTGGATCTGAGACGTCAGACCATCCCACTGAACTCCACGCAGACAAACGCTGCGTTCGAGCATTGTACATTCATATCTGTGTACACACAGACGAACACTGCATTCGAGCATTGTACATTCATATCTGTGTGACAGAACACAGCAATTAAAGAGGAACCGAAGGAGTCAAATGAAAACGGGACAAAAGAGGAGACATGATAGAGCGTGCGTCATCCCTGTGACACTGGAAGGGCTATTACTCATTCCAACACAAGTGCTTCGCTTTTCATTCTCCACTTCAATACCTTTGGCTCTATTTTTGTCTCATTAAGCTGCAAAATGGCAGCTGAAGGCTAATGGGAACGGTAGGTGGGCGTTCTTGAGGAATGAGGACAAAGATATGTGGTCCAATGGCAGCAGAGGTCAGAAGGATTTATAAGTTTCTCTCTAGCTGAACAAATAAAGAACATGAAATTGAAAATTCAATTCAAAGTGTTGAACTGTAGCAAACATCCTTGAGATAAGGCTGTTACTACAGACCCCCTGCCCCCATCCCCCCGGACAAAGTTGTATTTTTTTTATATCCCATGCTACACTGTATCCTACAGTAACTCCTACACATTCTGAACTCATAACAACCGCTTCGTTACATCACTCAAACGGTGAATGTACTCAGTATTGACACATTTGTAAGTATGAAAATCCCTGGCTCCACAGAGACGACCTACGACGCCGTCCTAATAACACTGTAAATCCTGGAGAACGAGCAGGAAATAAAAAAAACTGTCATCCAACAAATCAAACAGAGAAAACGGTGACGTCTGTTCAAGGGTGGAACTCCAACATACCTCGCTGGTTCTGAAGATGACCCTGTAGTTGTACTGTTGGCCATGTTCCTTGTGCTCTTCAAGCTTCTCCCTCCGAAGACTCACTGCCACTGGGCCCAGGTTCTCATCTACGCCCAGGTAGTTCCAATGTTCTGGGAACAAGAATATTTTTTGGATCGTCATCGGTTCCTTCATTTCAGTCGTTAATGCTCAGGTGTTTCTCAGTGTTTATTCTGAACTGTTTGAATTTTCTGGGTTTTGTTTGCATTATTATTGTTGTTTAAACTGTAAGAGTCCACAGTTGGAGACATGGAGAAACTCAACCCTGCTGCAGGTTTACCTAAAGTATGTACATGGATAGATTTTACAACAAAAACCTGCAGAGTTTACAGTCTGTTTACCTCTGAGGTAGAAATATTTTCTGTAGTAATAGGCACCAAGGTCAACATGTTCCACAATGTATCGTTTGGACCTGTCGGTGTGCTGACCGGGCCCGTCCTTGGGGGCCTCCAGCACGGCCACACCAGCGTTGGTGAAGTGAGTGTTAAGGATGGCGTCCAACGGTCCTTCTTCCGTGCTGCCAGATGACGTGCTCGAACTTCCACCACTACCTATGCTGCCCTGCTGGAGGAGAGAGAACAACGTAAAATGAGCGAAAAGATAACCTGGAGAGATCATTGGAGACATCGCCAAACTCTGATTTTTTTTTTTTTTTTAAACCTACCTGTTTGACAGGAGTGATGTTCCGTTCTCCCTCTCCACCGATCTCATTCCTGAAACAGGGGCAACTCAGCACCAGATCATTGCTCTTGTCATCACCGGGATCCAAAGCAGGGTTGGTGCCATGTCCTCCTCCCCCTTCCTTACTCAGCTCCTCCTGGGAGCCACAGGGCGAGCCGTACGCACCGCTCTGATTGGAGGACAGGGAGGACGTTGCTGAAGCGGACGCGGCCGCAGCAGCTGAGGCACCGGTCGTGGTGTTCTTACGTTTGCCTCCTGAGTGACGGCTGTGGACTGCCTCATTGAGGTCAAAGATCAGGGACTGGACATCAAAATGGGCGAAGCCTTTTTGGCACACCCATGGTTTGGGAGGAGGGCCGCTCTCGTCCCCCTTCCCTCCATCTTCAGCGTCCGAGCCGGCCCTGGACGTGTCTCCCTCCACTTTTACGCTACGTAGCTTACGGAATATGGATTCTCCACCGGTCTCTGACTTTGACCTCCTTTTTAAGTGCTTCTCTCGTTCTTTGAGCCGACTGGCAGGACTTCCTTTGGCCGGACCATCTGGCAGGTCGAGCGCGGCCTGTTTAACGGGGGCTACAGTCAGGAGCTCGGTTAGCCTCTCAGGAGCTGGACTCCTTTGATCCGGGGCCTCTGAGGACTGGTATCCCTTCAGCATGTCAAAGAAACTTTCTCCAGACGCGCCGTGTTTGTCTATGGAGGAAGTGCTGCCGTACTCACGGTGCATGGGGGTCCACCCTGAGAAAGACCAGCCTTCGTTGCCGTCACAGTCCAGTTCACTGATCGTGATGTCGCTGTTGCTCCGCTGGCGGATGCGTCTCATGCCCTTGCGAGGAGAGCCCAGATAGCCGTCTGGTGAAAGGAACCGATTGTCCTTTCCTTTGCTCTGAATTTTGTTCTTCAGTGTGTTTTGGATGTTGCGCAGCATGGACGAGTCCTGCGGGCTGATCAGGTGACCCAGCTTGGCTGACAGGTTGCTGTGGGCCGACGCGGCCGACACACTTCCACTTGAACCGCCACTTCCGCCTCCAGATCCTCCCCCTCCTCCACCTGTGAGTCGCTCTCTGTCCCCACTTCCAGATCCAGACCCAGATCCAGAAGAACTGGTGGTGTTGGTGGAGCTGGGTGAGTCTGTTTCCACAGTGATGTGCCAAACTCCTCCTCCGCCACCGTCCTTCCTCGGCGGCCAGTCGGCCACACGTGCCCTGACGCCCATTTTGGGGACGCCAGGGTTGGTGCCAGTGGTGGATGAAGAGGAGATGTGGGCACTCTCACTACGGGGAGGAGGTGCCCCGCCGTTGGGCAGTCTCAGGCGTCGGGTGTAGAACTCATCGGTGGCTGGCACCGACCCCCCCACTGAGCGCTCCGTCTGAGAACGCTTCAGACTGGTCATGACGGGGAGAGAGAGGACACGGGGGTGTGGTAGGGTCGTGGTCTAATGTAGGGTCACCATGACACCCACGGAAGAAAGGAACGTCCGTCTCAGAGAAACATTTGGTTCTGCAGAGAAAAAGAAAATAGAAAATGATGGAGAACATCAAAAAAATCTACAGTTATTCAATTCTGAGTGTAAAAGTATTTGACAATATATAAATATTAAAGAACTAGAGGATGGAAACTCATCAGGGTCTGAAGTACATTACTTCAACACTGCGTTAACATCAGAAGTGTGCCTCAAACACACAGAGCTCTTCTACTCATGACCAAACAGTGATGATGATAAAAGCCTTGGGGCACGACAGGCTCATTCAGCTGAAACACCAGAACCAGAAAAAGACTCATCAGAACAGAACGTGACTAAGAAACAACGGAGATGATTTTGGATAAAAAACAGCTTTTTGTTCAAAGCAGAAGTCAAAGTATGTTTTAGACTTTATAAAAGTAAAATGTGTGTCAATGAATAATAAAGCATCAGGGCAAAGACCTACACACTTTGCCATTATTTCCATCTCAGTGGGGACATTGTTGAAATAACAAGCAAAAAGTGTAATTCAAAAACAACTGTCAGACCTTCTTCTCCACAACATGGTTTCCTTTAATGAGAGTTGAAGAGCATGAGAGAAATGGAGCAGAAGAGAGTTGGGAGTCGGTGGAGAGGGTGAAGGGGTTATTTCTAAATGCCAGACTGGGAATTAGAAATGAATGAATGTGCCGTCGCGCACCTCCCTGCGCTCGCAATGGACCAATTATACTGGCAAATAGTCAGTAACCTTTAGCAGTGTCTAAATGAGGTCAATTCCTGAGGTAAATATGCAGCTGCAGAGGCTGTGCTGCCACAGTGGAGCTGGAAGTGTCAGCACAATCCAGATAACAATGGCTCAGACACATCAGCAGAAGATCGGAAAAACAAAGAGCAGGGGGGGTGTGTTTGGTGAGGAGCACTTGGTGAGTGTTCAAATGTAGGATTTTTTCATATTTTTCTTACAGTGGTTAAAAGGAATTCAATAACTTAATAACTTAACTAATTTAAGGCTGTAAAGATGAATTAATGATCATTAATCTCCATTAATCAACAAATGAAGTCATGATGTGTTTCGCACCTGTTTAAAATGTCATTAATCCAAATTGTGGATTTATTAATATGGAAAAATGATTTCTTTGAAGTTGAGCTTAGTCATTGCTGTACATCTTGAAGAGAAACAAAAACCAAGTTTTTTATTTTTTTTAAATGCAGGAGCAGAGTTGTCTTTCCTTCTGTTAATGCTTTTCCCAAACTTCAAAACATCCCGTGTTCCAGACGCAGTGGAGCGTCCCCACTATGACATAACCACAGCTCCATGTTCCACTGTGGACGCTGCTTTTGGACCGTTGTGTCTCGCTGCTCTCCAAACATAAGAGTCAGTGTCTCCGGAGACAAAGACAAGGTTTTCAGCAGGTTTCAGACCAGCGCTGTGGGGTCTTTTTCCTCAACTTTAAAACAACATTACATCTGTAAACCTGACTGATGTTAATGATTCATAACTGTCCTGACGCCGCAGGGTAAAGGTCGCCGTCGAGCAGCACAGGTGTGTCGTTTATACAGCAGGCTTATATGAATCAGATCCAGCGCACCATGAGTCACAAACACCTGAGACGAGTTAGTGAACAAGTGGAGAGGTGAAGTGTCTGTGACCTTCACCTCTCACATCTATACTGAAGCATTTTTAAAGACGATTCTTCTTTAAAAAAGTCTTTGGAAAAGCACGTGTCCAATCTGATGCTAGGAGGCAACTTTCCACCTGTTTTCACAGTCAGACGGCCCAACCTCACAAACTGGTGAGTCGAGTCGAGTCGAGACATGTCCTGACACCACCAACGTTTCATTAGCAGAGGTGGTTTCAAACCAAACTTGACTTTCAGGAAAGGATAACAAAGAAAGCCTTAAAGGAAGTACAAAGTAAATACAAAAGAAACACTTTTTTTGTATACAATTAAATGAATATACACTCTGATAATTCTGACAACATGTCAACTCAAACACCTGCTACCAACATGCAGCTGAACACAGGTGTGTGTGTGGGTGTGTGTGGGTAGAAGCAAAGACCAAAAACATGTTCAAATCCAGATGAGTCAGCGGTTTTCTGTGTCTGATGCTTAACTAAAGACTCAGATGGACACTGTTGCATCACATCGTTGTTGTTGTTTTTTTTCTCCCCTGAGTCTCAATGTCATCAGAGGTGGGTGGTGTTTATGTGAGTGTGAATGACAATGTAGAAACTCCTGAAGTCAGTCCTCACCTCATCATCCTTCCACTGGTCACTGATCCGAAACAACTGCCCTCTGTGCCGAAAATGCAGATCACACACAAATAACTGCATCACTGAAAAAAAATATATTCCTATGTTTCTAGGAAATACATTTATTCCATGAAAATGAGCGATTTCTGTCACTGGCCTGGTCTCCTTAAAAACTTCACAGCCGTTTCAAATGTCAAGCAGCTTTTCATCACGGCTCGTCCGAGCGAAGTGTGAAGGAAATGGAAGGAATGAAACGGAGTGGAAAGATAAGAAGAAAAAAAAGGACTAAAACAAACATTGTTGTCTTTGAGATCTGCCATGTGGCCAATTCTGAAGTGTGACAGTTACAGCTCGTCGACTCTAAGTCAAACTGTAATTGCGCGGAAAGGTAAACATGCTTTTCTGCCTCCCCCACTCCCTCAGCGAGGCAGGGAGGTAGGGCGGAGTCGCCTCACCCGCTCACTGATACGTAAAAAAGGGCTTTTTTTTCTTCTAAAGTTGGCGATGTGTTTTTTTTTTTTTTCAATCTCAGCAGTCGCTTTTTTTTCTTCTAAAGTTGGCAATGTGTTTTTTTTTTCAATCTCAGCAGTCGAGGCAGTGGGAGGAGATGAGTAAGGACATGTGACCAATGATGTGAAGGCCGTCCATAACATGATCAGTTTAAGGTCAAGGGTCAAACCTGTAGTTCCCACACCTTTATTTCAGCTCATTGAACTTTGTTTCACACACACACACTGAGCCAAGGAAATAGAATTACAACAAAAAGAAAGCTCTGCTGCCCCCACTCTGGGAACCACTTCACTAAACTAACTGGATTTTTGATGGTGGACTTAAAAGGCCCTCATTATGGACAATTGTGGCAGCCCAAAGACCCTGCTTCATTCTGACCTTGGTCAGGGCCGTCCATTCGCGGCATCAGGGTGTAGCTGTTTCCACAAACATAGTTTTAACCTTATTGTTCATTTGTGACCACGACTAAATACTGTGGTGAAGGAAAAAAAACATGTTTGTCATCAAGTCTGTTTCCCTCCCATTGAAACTCCAACCACAATTATCCAAACAAATTATGACATTCAAACGACTGGAAAGAAATCAAATGTTACGACAAAGCTTCACGTATAAAACACATTTGGTTGGAGGCCAAAGAATTGTTGGTTTGGAAGCAGAACCGTCAAGTTGATGATCCAGAAGAGACGTTCCTGCTAACACTACAGAGTACATACAGTAACTGTGGCGTTTGCAGTGACTGTTACTTCACACCAAGCCAACGCTCCTGACTTAGACTTCTACCAGATCAAGTATTTTCACCAGCTTTCCGTTGATTTTATTCAAGTTTTAACCTAACAAACTGAACCCTAACACCAAAGATTTTCATGACAAAAACCTGTTCTCTTCAACTTATTTTATCAGTGTGGCTCCTTGTCCGTGTGATTCTGGCGAGGACGCCTCATTAAACAGACATTTAGCTCGTGACGTTCACCCATCCATGAGGTGAGACAGGTGGCCGCTCACTGAAGTGAATTATGAACCAAAATAAATGCAACAGATCATCTGCACACCTGTCGGCCTAATGGGGGAGCGCAAAAGTATATTTTTGACCCATATTTTGCTTTTAGACCTGTTACAATCATGGTCTTAGATTTTCTTATTAGTTGTGAATTTCCTCTCATTTCTGTAGTCAAAGAAGACGTGGCAGTAAGCTCTTTCAAATATAAAGACTCTTCCAACAAGTACTAAATTTCACATACTTGAATTTGAAAACCCCGACTAGAAGTTCTACTTCATAGTTTCACTTGATGGCGATTAGTGCCGGCACAAGAAGCAGCAACATTTCTGGAGATTCATTTTAGCAGTTTATGACCGGCAGTTATCACTGGACGGAGACCATCAGGAGCCCGAGTGTCGTGCAGAACAACACAGGTTACATCATGGAGCCACTGTTGATGCTAAGTCATGGAAATTTTCCCCCTGAAACAACTTGACACATTTGACATTTCTTTGCACTACGCACTCCGTCTCCCCCTGCTGAGTCTTGTTGGTTTCAAGACAACAATAAATAAGTAAACACTGGAAATATATACATGCTCTCAGGCACATACTGACAGAATGAGGGCCTCCTCAGTGAGAGGTTCCAATCCATTTGCCATGGTGCTCTGGTGCCTAAAAATAAGCAGCTGAAACGTCCGTAGCTGTAGCCAGCGTGCTCCGAGGACAGTCGGCCCGGGCTCCCATTGCTGCGTGTTTGTTTAATGATGTATGCATGGACACTGGTGCTTCGCTTGCCAAAGGACCTCGGATTCTGATCTTTTTCTTCACACTTAATTAACTGTGCGTATTTTTAGCACAGGAACAAGATGCAGTTGTCCAGATTACACTTACCGCTGATCAAACAGTACACTTCAGGCTCATTTCCATTCTAAGACCTTGCACCTGAAACTGGAAACATTTCCATCTCAACAGTCACAGCAAACAAAATTTAATAGAACTTTTTTTATTTAACTAAAAAAAACTTTCCAGGCACTAAATAATGCTGTGGAAACATTGGATTAAGCTGTGTTGACGCGAACAGGACTGGTTCTACTTCTAGGGACACCTAACTTTCCAGGCACTAAATGATGCTGTGGAAACATTGCATTAAGCTGTGTTGACACAAACAGGACTGGTTCTACTTCTAGGGACAGTACCAGAACCACTGGGCCACACACCTCCTAAATCCTGACATGTTCCACATGCTTCTCAGCAGCAAAAATTAACATGAACTTTTCCTTCAGAAGAAGCAGAGCT